AACATTACTAAATTGGATTCTAGACACACACATACTCCCATGTGATTTCAAGTTAAGGATTAATCCTATTAGTATACAGTAAATCAAACCTAAAGCACTATAACCTCCACTTTAAAGTGGAAGCAAATGATAATCCGGAACCCAGCCAGAAAGTCATTCTTGGCTTTTCTGTGAAGCACTGTGCCATATGGCCCTGACAGCATTTTCAATCCACGGAAGAGACAGATGTAAAAGCCTCCTGGGCTGACCACTGCTGCAACCCACAATTAATCTCTGACCATCAGTTTCTAAGCAATCTCAGAAGCATCGATGCTAATCACATTGGAAGCCTTTATAAGAATGTTTAGGCCCTGAAAGGCAAGCAGGGGAAAAGGTCAGGGGTATTTAACATAACTAAGCAGGGCTGGAAGAACCCAAGGATAAATAAAAAAGGGAAGACCTATTCAATTTATTGACGTCAGCTTGCCACCACAAACTCTTACTATTTTTCTTATTCAATCAACTGGCTAGCCTTTGGAGACTAAATACACACACACACACACAACTCCTAACTGACAGAAACTATAATCATAAACAGCAATTATGCAAAAAAGAAAACATGACAACAACAAAATGCTCCATAATCTGCTTACCAAATGGCTCATCAAATTAGGTAGTTGATCTTTCATAAGCCACACGAAAAAGGGGAACTATTCGTTGTTTTTCATTTCTGGAGTGCACGCAGAGCATTTTGCTCTTGTGAGGAAGTGAGACATAACGAAACAGCAATGAGTTTGAACAGAAGACAGTGTTCAAGTCCCACTTCTGCTACAGGTCATTTACTCTCACTGAAACTATTAGTATAGAAGCTTCCCAACTAGAAACTTCCATAGATAGAATCAAAGTGAGCTGCCAACAGACAGCATCAATGATCGCGAATAGTTGTGGTTGTTGGCTGTTTTCAGCTTATGAAAACACATTCATCTCACTGAGAGACAAGTGCAGACATCCTGACTCCTGAGGATTCCCTAAAACAATTGTGGAAACTACCACAGGTTTCACCTGCCTTAATTAATTTTCAGTGTTCTGGTGACCAAAAGAACATCCATCAGCCAGGAAGACAAGAGCATGCCTGGTTTCAAATCTTCAACAGACCTACCTACTTAAACTCTTATTTGGTAAAAATGCTACCGGGATACTGCAAGCTTAAATCCCTCATGGTCATTCTGGACTGGAAATAATTCTTACAGATCAAGAATTATTTCTAGGGATAATTCTAATTTCTGACTACCTATGATGTAAAAAACTATTAATCTGATTCATTCAAAAAGAGGCTATAGGGCTTCCCTGGTGGCACAGGGGTTAAGAATCCGCCTGCCAACACAGCAGACACAGGTTCGAACCCTGGTCCAGGAAGATCCCACATGCCGCGGAACAACAAAGCCTGTGCTCCACAACTACTGAGCCTGTGCTCTAGAGCCCATGAGCCACAACTACTGAGCCCACGTGCCACAACTACTGAAGCCCGTGTGCCTAGAGCCCATGCTCTGCAACAAGAGAAGCCACCGCAATGAGAAGCCTGCTCACCACAACAAAGAATAGCCCCCGCTCGCCCCAGAGAACCAGAGAAAAGCCTGTGCACAGCAACGAAGACCCAACACAGCCAAAAATAGATAAATAAACAAAATTATTTATTTATTTTAAAAAGAGGGCTTCCCTGGTGGCGCAGTGGTTGAGAGTCCGCCTGCCGATGCAGGGGACACGGGTTCGTGCACCCGTCCGGGAAGATCCCACGTGCCGCGGAGCGGCTAGGCCCGTGAGCCATGGCCGCCGAGCCTGCGCATCCGGAGCCTGTGCTCCGCAACGGGAGAGGCCACAACAGTGAGAGGCCCGCGTATGGCAAAAAAAAAAAAAAAAAAAGAGCCCACTGATATGATGCACCGAAAAGGACACAACATCAGTTCTCTGCTATTTCTGTCAAAAATTCAGTGACCTCACTCCATTTGTGAAAAAAATGTCAGTCAAACCCAGACTGAAGAACATACTACAAAATAACTGAGGAGTAGTCTTCAAAAGTGTCAAAGTCATGAAAGAAAAGGAAAAACGAAATAACAGGGTATAGGAGACTTAGAAAACTACAGTAGTCCCCCCTTACCTGTAGGAAATCCAAGACTCCCCGGTGGCTGCCTGAAACCTCAGACAATATGGAACCCTATGTATACTATGTTTTTCCCTATAGATATATACCTAATGATAAAGTTTAATTTATAAATTAGGCACAGTAAGACATTAACAACAATAACTAATAATAAAGTAGAACAATTATACTAATATACTGTAATAAAAGTTATGTGAATGTGGTCTTTAGCTTTCAAAATATCCTATTGTACATATTTAATGCCTTTTCCATCTTAACTAAGCACTTATCACACACATTGGCCATAACTTGTGCAGTTTGAGGTGTAACAGCAAAACTACCATAAATTTCTTTTTCCTTCTTAATTCCATGGACAGAAGCACTTAACAGCTTTTCTTTGTCATATCCCAACTGCCATCATCACTACTCCTCTGCTTGGGGTCCATTATTAAGTAAAATAAGGGTTACTTGAACACAAGCACTGTGATGCCTCAATAACTGATCTGATAACCAAGTCAGGCTACTAAGTGACTAACAGGTGGGATATGCTGGACAAAGGGATGATTCATGTCCTGGATGGGAAGGAGTGGGACGGTACAAGATTCCATCATGCTACTCAGAATGGTGTGCAATTTAAAACTTACGAATTGTTTGCAATTTTCCATTTAATATTTTCAGACTGTGGTTGACTGTAGGTATCTGAAACCATGGAAAGCGAGCCACAGATAAGAAGGGACTACTGTAGGGACTTCCCTGGTGGTGTAGTGGATAAGACTCCATGCTCCCAGTGCAGTGGGCCCAATCCCTGGTCAGGGAACTAGATCTCACATGCATGCCACAACTAATAGTATGCATGCCACAACTAAGGAGCCTATATGCCACAGCTAAGGAGACCACGTGCTGCAACTAAGAAGCCCGCCTGCTGCAACTAACACCCCACACAACCAAATAAATAAATAAATATAAAAAAATTTTAAAAATAAATTAAATAAATGGTCTTTAAAAAAAAAGAGGGGACTACTGTAAACACAGTGTGGGATACTGGGAGGATTCTGGATCAGAAAAATACAGTACAAAAACTCTTGGAGGGCTTCCCTGGTGGCACAGTGGTTGACAGTCCACCGGCCGATGCAGGGGACATGGGTTTGTGCCCCGGTCCAGGAAGATCCCACATGCCATGGATCGCCTAGGCCTGTGAGCCATGGCCGCTGAGCCTGCGCGTCCGGAGCCTGTGCTCCGCAACGGGAGAGGCCACAACAGTGAGAGGCCTGCCTACCGCAAAAAAACAAAACAAAACAAAAAAACCCAAAAAACTCTTGGAATTCAAATAAGGTCTGTAGTTCAGTTAACAGTATTATACCAATGTTGATTTCCTGGTTTTGATAACTTTACTATGGTTACAAAGTATGGTTACAGAGTAATATTAACATAAGGGGAAGTTAAGGAGAGTTGTATTCAAGAACTCTCAGTACTATTTCTGCAACATTTTTACACATCTAAAATTCATTAGAAATAAAGTTTTTAACGAGACAACATTAAAAAGGTAAACTAAGATAAGTGGCATTACCACACCAATCAACTTTGAACACAAAAACAGAACGGCAAACAGAACTTTGTCAACTTTGAGCAAAGTCATGTGACTTTGCTCCATCACTACACCTTCTTCTCTGTACCCTGTCCACACTGCCCCACCCCTCAGAGGCAGGAGATGGGGGTTAGAGGGAGGTAATGGAGGAGGACATTACACACATTCTACTGGGAAAGAGGAGCATATACTAGAACAATTTTCTGAAGGCCCGCTCCTGACATTAGGGGAAAAAACCCTCACATTTTACTCAGAGATCCCATAAAGATAATTCTCAAGTGAAAAACAGAGATGGGGGGTGGAGGGGGGGGTTGGAGGGAGGAAAAAACAATATTCATTTGCCAAGAAGATTTTACAATGTTTTTGTTTGTGTAAATGATGGAGAAAGTAATAATGTGGGAAAATGGCTAGAATCTAAAACTTTATCAACCTTCACATTACTTTAATTAAATAATTTAAACATTATTTTGTCTTCCTTTTAAAAAATATTAGATTAATAAATTAATCATGTCTATAAAAAGTTAAAGTCAACTTTCACTTTTGCTTTTTGTCTTAAGAACTGTATTTTCAAGTCTCATAAGACAGTCAGTCTCATGACTCTAAACTCACACTTTACAGAAAGGAGTACTTGTACTCACTCCAGCTTTAACATTATTTCAGCATACAAAGAATATAACGTACAACGAATGTTCTGTGACTAAATAATCACACGGAACAGGCATAAGGAATTCAGGGCACTTAGAGGAGGAGGACAACCTGACAGGGTGGAAAGAACATGTGCCTTGGAGTAAGACAGACCTGAGACTAAACTTTAGCTCTGTGACTTACTGGCTCCCAGACCCAAAGCAAGTTTTGTTAACCATGAACTTTAATTATCTTGCCTGCAAAATAGCAAAAATATCACTTAACTCACTGTATTGTAAAGATTAAATTAGATAATTGTACATAAAATGTTTGGCAAGTCACTCGATGCCAACCTTCTCCATTTTAATGTTAAAAAGGGGTTCGCTGAAAACATACCGATTGAAGTTAATGTCTGGATAACTAGAATACTCCGATTTCATCTTAGCATTGCGCCGTGGAAATGTGCAGAAGAAAGCATTAGCTAAAAGACTAGCAATCTGTTCCTGTGACATTGTGATGGAATGATTCATCTTCTGTTTCAGGAGTGGTATTGGCTGATAGAGGAAACACAAATAGAGACAAGAAGAGCAATAATTAGTTTAGCAATTTCAAAAGCAGAGGCACCAAATTGCATTTGTTAAATTAAGGTAGGAATAATTTCAGGCCACTCTTGAATCCTTAAATCAGCAATACTGTTGAAGTCAAGAGCAGTTCATCAAGGATGATTGGGAAAATGTACTTGTTTGACAAAGTGTAGATTTCTAATCAATAATAATGATAGTGAAGAGAACACAAAACATTACTTTTATTAATGAAAAACGAGATTCCTTTAGCAAGTAAGAAATAAAAACACATTACACATGTAATGAAAAATTAAAACAAAGGATGGAACAGAAAAATGTAATGCTGAGTTTAGCTACTACTGCATATGCTAAATTTTGTTCTCACTTACATTAAAGATTATTGGACAGAGCAAATTTTCTATTTCAGTCCTAAAGAAAATGATCTAAGGAAAATAATTCAATAAGTCTTTTCCTTCTAATTTTGAATCACACTTCTCATTGACAATTTATAAGACCCAAATCTTATTTTATTAAAGCAATTAATGTGTACACAGACTTATTTATGTATAACCTATAAGAATATAGGCATTTCCTACATAATCATTTCAAGTCAAGGAAGATGCAGGACATTTCTCCCTCAAGTTTTTTACATCTGAAATGTCTTCAAGTTATACCAAACCCAAATTGACTAACCTTTTATTTTTAGTATATTCCACAGGACCTGAGTATTGCATTCAGTGAGTTTTTTTCTTTTAAATGTTTAAACTGTATGTTTTTAAAGTCATGCTGGGAAACCCAAAGACCAACTGCCAATTTACATCAGTTGTTAAATTTCGAAATGCTCTAACATAATATTTAGAGATGCTTTTCCTATTCCCTTTAATAAGTCAGAACTAAGAATCCTGGATATCTACTTTAATTCAAAACAGAATGCATAGAGAACTGTCCTGATCATATCTCAGGAATCAACACTCAAAACGAAACTAAGGCAGGCAAGACAAATCAACTATAACTATTAGCTTTTCTCTAAGTAACAGAAAACATACATCATTGCTAGAATAAGAGTTTGCTAGAAAAAGAAAATGCTAAACTTGCAGTTCAACTATTTGCCTTGGGAAAATACAAAAGTAAACAAACAGGAAATATCAAGAATTTATTTTCATTAGGATATCCAAAATTCTCTCCTTTTAGGCCTTAGCAAACACCAGTTCTAAGAAAGAAGCAATAGAGAGCTCATATTGATCTTCATTTTCCTTCCTACACATTTATTTACAGCCCAGCCATGAGTTTAGAAAAGGTGACAAAGTATCAATGGCTTAAAGCACACTGTTTCTTGGTTTTAGTAAGAAATGAGTTTTTAACTACCATTTACCAGGTTATCCACAAAAATGATTTTAGGCTTAATGGACTTTAAACACAAACATTTCTTGTTTCCCAAATAACTAAATAAGTATAATTTAAAATATAATAAGTTATTCGTTCTCCTGGTGAGGAGAAATGCCTGAAAGCTAATACTTGGGGAAAACTAGAGGATGTAAATCTTATCATTGAGCACTCAGCTAGGTAAAATAAGACACTGGTTAATATGAATGAAGACCTCTCATCAGAAAGAGAAATTAAGGAAGCAATCCCATTCACCCTTGCAACAAAAAGAATAAAATACCTAGGAATAAACCTACCTAAGGAGGTAAAAGACCTGTACTCAGAAAACGATAAGACACTGATGAAAGAAATCAAAGATGACACAAACAGATGGAGAGATATACTGTGTTCTTATATTAGAAGAATCAATATTGTGAAAATGACCATACCGAAAGCAATCTACAGATTCAATGCAATCCCTATCAAATAACCAATGACAATTTTTACAGAACCTGAACAAAAAAAATCTTAAAATTTGTATGGAGACACAAAAGACCCCTAATAGACAAAGCAATCTTGAGGGAAAAATATGGAGCTGGAGGAATCAGACTCCCTGACTTCAGACTACACTACAAAGCTACAGTAATCAAGACAATATGGTACTGGCACAAAAACAGAAATACAGATCAGTGGAACAGGATAGAAAGCCCAGAGGTAAACCCACGCACCTATGGTCAACTAATCTATGACAAAGGAGGCAAGGATATACAATGGAGAAAAGAGGGCCTCTTCAATAAGTGGTGCTGGGAAAACTGGACAGCTACATGTAAAAGAATGAAATTAGAACACTCCCTAACACCATACAGAAAAATAAACTCAAAATGGATTCGAGATCTAAATGTAAGACTGGACACTATAAAACTCTTAGAGGAAAACATTGGAAGAACACTCTTTGACATAAATCACAGCAAGATCTTTTTTGACCCACCTCCTAGAGTAATGGAAATAAAAACAAAAATAAACAAATGGGACCTCATGAAACTTCAAAGCTTTTGCACAGCAAAGGAAACCATAAACAAGATGAAAAGACAACCCTCAGAATGGGAGAAAATATTTGCAAATGAATCAACGGTCAAAGGATTAATCTCCAAAATATATAAACAGCTCATGCAGCTCAATATTAAAGAAACAAACAACCCAATCCAAAAATGGGCAGAAGACCTAAATAGACATTTCTCCAAAGAAGACATACAGATGGCCAAGAAACACATGAAAAGCTGCTCAACATCACTAATTATTAGAGAAATGCAAATCAAAACTACAATGAGGTATCACCTCACACCAGTTAGAATGGGCATCATCAGAAGATCTACAAACAACAAATGCTGGAGAGGGTGTGGAGAAAAGGGAACCCTCTTGCACTGTTGGTGGGAATGTAAATTGATACAGCCACTATGGAGAACAGTATGGAGGTTCCTTAAAAAACTAAAAATAGAATTACCATATGACCCAGCAATCCCACTACTGGGCATATACCCAGAGAAAACCATAATTCAAAAAGACACATGCACCCCAATGTTCATTGCAGCACTATTTACAATAGCCAGGTCATGGAAGCAACCTAAATGCCCATTGACAGACAAATGGATAAAGAAGTTGTGGTACATATATACAATGGAATATTACTCAGCCATAAAAAGGAACGAACTTGAGTCATTTATTGAGACGTGGATAGATCTAAAGACTGTCACACAGAGTGAAGTAAGTCAGAAAGAGAAAAACAAATATTGTATGTTAACGCATGTATGTGGAACCTAGAAAAATGGTACAGATGAACCGGTTTGCAGGGCAGAAGTTCAGACACAGATGTAGAGAACAAACGTATGGACACCAAGGGGGGAAAACTGCGGTGGGGTGGGGATGGTGGTGTGCTGAATTGGGCGATTGGGATTGACATGTATACACTGACGTATGTAAAATTGATGACTAATAAGAACCTGCAGTATAAAAAAAACAAATAAAACAACTAATACTAAACTTTCTTTGGGTTATTTGTATGGAAATATGTTAATATAAATGTTTCAGACATCACATGAAATTTCTAAAACTCTTATATGTTCTGGTATAATGTTATAAGTCATAATTCTAGTTATTACTTTAAAATGTATATCTCAGAAATAACTATACTTCCTTGTCAACTGCATTATTATGAACTTTCATCAAATCTTTAACCATGGTCATTTTTAAGTCTTTTGTCATTTACAGACAGTTCTGGGTGTACTCTGATGCTTTTGCAAAAATGTTCCTATAAAAGGGTTTCATCTTCAAGGAATTCATGGAAAAGACTCTGACAAGTACAGGTTTCTGGTAACTGACTACACTGCTGAACTGAATGAATAAGCATTTTCAGAACTCTAATGGAAAACTGATGAATTCATAAAAGTGCTAACAAAAGATCAAGATAAAAAAAATTAATTACATGGGACTGAGTGAACTGATGAGGATGATTACAATTTTTGTGACTTTCTGTTTGAATAATAATAATAAAAAATCCCACAAGGAAGGACTCAGAGGCAAAAAATATACAAATCAATTTTCACTGCAATGTAAAGGAGCTGTTACATTGGGGGGAAAAAAGTGATGCTGGGAAAACTGGACAGTTACATGTAAAAGAATGAAATTAGAACAATCCCTAACACCATACACAAAAATAAACTCAAAATGGATTAAAGACCTAAATGTAAGACTGGACACTAAAACTTTTAGAGGAAAACATAGGAAGAACACTCTTTGACATAAATCACAGCAAGATCTTTTTTGACCCACCTCCTAGAGTAATGGAAATAAAAACAAAAATAAACATAATAATGAAATGAAAAATGAAAAATAAAAGCTTTTGCACAGCAAAGGATATTATAAACAAGACAAAAAGACAAGTCTCAGAATGGGAGAAAATATGTGCAAACAAATCAATGGACAAAGGATTAATCTCCAAAATATATAAACAGCTCATGCAGCTCAATATTAAAGAAACAAACAACCCAATCCAAAAATGGGCAGAAGACCTAAATAGACATTTCTCCAAAGAAGACATACAGATGGCCAAGAAACACATGAAAAGCTGCTCAACATCACTAATTATTAGAGAAATGCAAATCCAAACTACAATGAGGTATCACCTCACACCAGTTAGAATGGGCATCATCAGAAGATCCACAAACAACAAATGCTGGAGAGGATGTGGAGAAAAGGGACCCCTCTTGCACTGTTGGTGGGAATGTAAACTGATACAGCCACTATGGAGAACAGTATGGAGGTTCCTTAAAAAACTAAAAATAGAATTATCATATGATCCAGCAATCCCACGACTGGGCATATACCCTGAGAAAACCATAATTCAAAAAGACACATGCACCCCAATGTTCACTGCAGCACTATTTACAATAGCCAGGTCATGGAAGCAACCTAAATGCCCGTCGACAGACGAATGGATAAGAAGATGGTAAATATATACAGTGGAATATTAGCCATAAAAAGGAATGAAATTGGGTCATCTGTAGAGATGTGGATGGACCTAGAGACTGTCATACAGAGTGAAGTAAGTCAGAAAGAGGAAAACAAATATCGTATATTAACGCATATATGTGGAATCTAGAAAAATGGCACAGATGAACCGGTTTGCAAGGCAGAAATAGAGACACAGATGTAGCGAACAAACGTATGGACACCTGGGGGAAAAGGAGTGGGAGGGTAGGATCAATTGGGTGATTGGGATTGACATATATACACTAATATGTATAAAATAGATAACTAATAAGGACCTGCTGTATAAAAAATTAATTAATTTAAAAAAGCATGAATGAAGATCTTTCAAAAAGTTCACGTCCAAAATTTGTTTCCTTTAATTTAGTTTTTATAAATCTAAAATTTACCTTTTAGATTTGGCCTAGAGAACATTAGTATGATAAATCATTAAGTAACAACATATGCAATTTAACTTGCCAAAGATATATTTCGATAACAAATTGAAATGTTAACTTTCACAGCAGAGATTTACCTTTTAGTCGAGGACAGAGGACAAAATTAAAATGTTCTCCTAATGGAAGGACATAGTTGTTTTAAGCCAGGAAAAAGAGATGGGAGCCGCAAATCTGACTTTGGTTCCACCCACTGACTTGTTATAGATTACAAACTTGGGCGCTTCTGAATACATATCTCATTAAGCACAATAGGGAAACCTTCTCTCTAAAGCATGAAGGGAAAAGAAGAGGAGAAAGTGATTCCTATCTAAAGGCTATATTTAGTTAATTATGAACTACAGTGAATTAAAAAAGCATTTAATTAAGCACTAGGTTAGACCTGGGGACACAAAGATGATCCCCCTTCAGGGAGAATATAATCTAGGGGAGGAGATATATAAAAACATAAATTACAAAATAATGTGCTAATAAGTATGATTCGAGTGCTACAGGACTGATAAACTTTGGCTGGGAGAGGTAGGAAAGGCTTCACAAGGGGCAGAACCTAAGAGGTAGTGAGAAATTTTACTACATAAGGAAAAAAGCAAGGAAAAAAAGAGAAAAGAATGAACATGAAACATAAGCAAATAACTTCCAACATAAACAACAAGAAGTTGAGTTTTAAAATATATTTTCTCTGCCCAACAGAAAAACTTATTTCAGACACAATGAATTAATGAGGTGAAATTACAGTTACCTAAAATTGGAAATATCACAGTATAATGCTAACAAATATGGCACACAGAAAAACATTCAGTGGTTCTCAACATTTGGACTCAGGCATTCAGACATGGCTTTTGGTTGCCCCAATGACTATGCTTGTGTTTTTTGTGCTGTTCCAATGACAGACTGCAATGTGTGGGACCATCCTACACATTCAGAATTTGCTCTGCCCAAAATGTCCCTAGGGCCCCTGTGGATCAACTGTGTTAGCAGAAACCTGGCTAGCATCCATGTAGCCAGGGGGCTGGCCCTAGAAATAAATGACAGGCGAATTCAAGCTACTGTTGCGAGAAACACAGGAAAAAAATTATGAAGAACAAACCAACAACATCTTATAATTACATCTACAAATTCTTTGATACTCTCCCCCCTTAACAGGCAGAGTCTAATTATCCTCTCCTTGAGTATGAGCTAGATTTATTGACTAAATTCTAATGCAGAGAAAGAATAGTGAAAGCGATAGTGTGTGCCTTCAGAAACGAGGTCAAAAAGGCACTGCCTCTTCCTGTCTCTCTCCTTTCGGTGGCTTTTTCTGGGGAAGTTAGCAACCATGTCACGAGGATACCCAATCAGCCTACAGAGAGCCCCACAGCAAGGAACTGAGGCCTTCTGCCAGCAGCCATGTGAGTGAGCCAACTGAGAAGTGGCTCCTCCAGCTTCAGTCAAACCTTCAGATGACTGCAGCCCTGGCCAACACCCTGACTGCAACCACAAGAGATCCCAAGCCAGAACCAGTCAGCTAAGCTGCACCCAAATTCCCAACACAAACTGTGATAATAAATGTTTCCTGTTTTAAACCACTAAATTCTGAAGTAGTTTGTTATGTAGCAATAAATGATACACTCCGACACAAAACAAAATAATACCAGATTCTTTCTTTTATCTTTAAAAGTTAAGAATGTATCATGAACTCATTTGTTATACAATATACTACTTTGGGGGAGAGGGGAGGAAGGAGTAGGTATTAAGCCATTTTGAAGATAAAATGTTCTAAATCCATTAGTATGCTTTGAAATAATGACTATCCTTTTTTGAAAGAGATTATTTTAAATTTTGAGAAAAAGAAGTATGAGTAAGCAAACATCAACACTGTAAACTGAAGCTCAGAAACTGAATGCTGCATTTTTAATGTCCACTCGCAGTGTTCTCTGTAGCCTCTAACCTTTTCCTTAGTAATAGCAAAATCATCATACTCTGGCAAAAACTGTTTCCCATCTCTCTGTTTGACCTTGACAATTAGAGTTTAAACGAAATTCAACTGTGAGTCTCAAGAAAGCTACTGAGGAAGAAGTTATTTCCACCAACCTGGGTGCAAATATTTGGCAGACAGAGTGCAATTTTCACCATATCAGGCAAAATGGACTGATATAAGTGTTGAGCTTCTGCTTCTTCTAGTACCTGAAAACCAATAAAATGTTATCAGTGAATAATAACCAATGAACAAATATTTGTTATTAAATTACATATCTGCTTTATATAGGATCCCATAAGAAGGTATATTATCAGCATCACTGAACACACGCACAAGTATACCAACAGGTGCAGTAAGGAACTTACAAATTCATTTCCAAATGTATGTAATTCACCTAAATGCCCTCTGAAAATGAATCGAGTATCCCAAATATGAAATATCTATCATATCACATTCACAACTAACTAAATGCTTGCATATGAAAAACAGTACCTTCTGACCTCGGTTACATCAACTAAAAACTATTAGACCACGAAGAACTCTCTCAGAAGCCCTTAAGCTTCTACAGTCGGTAATTTAAAGAAATCACCACAAAAGCCACCCTAATCATTTCAGAGCATATTATATGTGTCAAATCTAACCTACTGGGTAGTAAACAATGAAGCTCCAGGTGACTTACAATTTCCTTTTCTAGGCACCTTTAGGAAGTTAAAACCACTATTCCCATATCACAATTTGAAGTACAAGAAAGACGACATTCATGGCCTATTTCTGTCTTTTGTAATTTCCCATCTCTTCAATGCTTTAGAAATTACTTTAGGCCATTTAATCCAACTTCTCTCTAAACATCAGAGTATTTCTTTTAAAATACTGAAAATGAAAACACTCTTAATCTAGGGATACTATATATACAGTCAGGATTAAAGTAAATCATGTATCTATCTGAAATCACATCTGAACTAGATAGATGAGGTCTCAGTTATAATCCAGTCTGATCCTGTCATTATTAAAGAGAAAAGAAAACTGAAGCCAAGGAGGTTACTTGATTATCCTAGACTGAAAATGTCAATTAGCAACTAAATCAGAACTAGAACCCAAGTATTCTGGCCTATATTCCACAGCTCTCCCCACTTCTCTATGTGACCAATGTTTGGGATTGATGAGGATACAGACTCTACAAACATCTATAGATTCCCTTTGCTAACAGGAGCTAAGCTGAAATAAAGGAATATTCATTTGTCTACCTACAGCTGGACACAGTATGTGTATAAATAGAAAAAGTAGCAAAGATAATTTACATTCACTCTGGTTTTACAAGAAAGTTCTAACAAGGCTTCCCTGGTGGCACAGTGGTTGAGAGTTCGCCTGCCGATGCAGGGGACACGGGTTTGTGCCCCGGTCCGGGAAGATCCCACATGCCGCGGAGCGGCTAGGCCTGTGAGCCATGGCCGCTGAGCCTGTGCGCCTGGAGCCTGTGCTCCGCAACGGGAGAGGCCACAACAGTAAGAGAGGTCCGCGTAACGCAAAAAAAAAAAAAAAAAAAAAAAAAAAAAAAAAAAGCAAGTTCTAACACTAAGAATTTTCTTTATACCAAAGCTCTAAAATCCAAACCTCCCTCTTTAAATTAGGAAAATGGGAAAATTGATATTCAGAATGAACAGAAAGATATTTGCAATTCAGAGAGTGTAGGATCCAATTAATCATAGGTATACAAAAAACAAGCAAGAACACAATTATTAATACTGGGGAAAACAAAAAGTTGCACAAGAGTAGAAAAGGAATCAGATCTCAGATATGAACAGTGTTTTTACCATCCTACTAAAAAACCAGAATACTGATCTAATTGAAATGAATATGATATCTATAGTAGAAAAGTGGGGAAATATAAATAAGGCTGTTAGTGGTGACAGGGTTAAGTAAACAATAGCTAAATCCTAATCTTCTATAATGGGAAGTTAACACACTAAAAAAATAAATAAATAAAGGCTAAAAGGTTCAAAGCCTCTTCATTATAAGCCTCTTTAATGCTAATAAAAAAAAATTAAATTAAAAAAAATCATACATAGAAGGCATTCTGCTATTTTAGAATTTTATTGTATATATTAAAGATACTTGCTTTCCTGTACCTGAAAATGCATAAAACATATTACTGTATTTATTTAAGATATTCAAATTCTTCTTATTCATAATTTATCTTTTTGTTTTTTAAAACATTTTATTTTGAAATAATTATAGATTCACAGAAAGCTGCAAAAATAATATATGGAGGTCCGGTTTACCCCTCACCAAGTTTCCCTTAAAGGTTACATTTCAGATTAACTATAACACAATATCAAAACCAGGTAATTAATACTGGTACAGTATGTGTGTATTGTTCTATGCTATTTTATCACGTGTACATTTGTAACCAAAATCAAGATGCACAAGTGTTCTACTATAACAAAAGTCTCCTTTGTGCTACTAATTTATAGTCACACCCTCCTTCCAACCATCCCTAAGCCCTAGAAAGCACCAATCTGCTTTCCATCTCTGTAATTGTTGTGTTATACAAATGGAATCATATGGTATGTGTCCTTTTAAGATAGACTTTTTTTCACCCAGTGTCACCCAGTCCTTGAGATCTATTCAAGTTCATGCATGTATCAACAGTTAATTCCTACTGCTGAGTAGTATTCCATAGTATGAATATACCACAGTTTAACCATTTACCTACTGAGGGGCATTTTGGTTGTTTCAAGTTTTTGGCTATTACAAACAAGGCTGCCTTTTACTTTCAACCTGCCTATACTGTTATGTCTGAAATAATTTCTTGCAAGCAGCATATAATGTGTCAGGTTTTTTTAATCTACTCTGTAAATTGCTGTCTTTTAATTGGTGAACTCTGACATTTAATCATTGATAAGTTAGAAGATATTCATTTTTAATTTTCTCTTTCTTTTACCTGTTTTCTTTTCCTTCATTCCTATGGGTTACTTGAACATATTTTAGAATTCCATTTTTATTTATCTAAAGTATATTTGAACACATCTCTTTGAACAGATTTTTTTTAAATTGGCTGCTCTAGGCATTCGTTATATATAACTTATCACTGTTTCCTGGTGTCAACAATTCACATGTTGCAGTAAAGCATAGAAACTTTACCTTTAAGGCTCTTTACCCACCCCCATTATAATTTTCTTTAATATTTCTCCACATACATTGAGAACCACATTTGATAGTGTTATAATATTTGAAAATAGTGAAACAGAAAATGTCAAACACTATTTAGAATACTCAAGAAGAAAAGTCTACTATATTTTTACTCTTTCTACTGTTCTTTCTTCTCTCCTGGTGTTCCAAGATTCCATTTTATCCTTTCCTTTCTGTTTCAAGAAATTCCTTTAGACATTCTTTTAGGACAGGTCTATTAATGACAAATTCTCTTCCTTTCCTTCATCTGAGAATGTCACTATTTCTCCTACAGTCCTGAAGGATATTTTCAACGGATATACACTTCTCTGTTGAAAGTTCTTTTCTCTTACTCCTTCAAAATTATCATGTCACTTTTTTCTGGCTTTCATATTTTCTGATGAGAAATCCAACAACATTCAAACTGTTTTTCCCCTATAGGCAATGTGTTATTTCTTTCTGGATGCTTTCAGAATTTTTTTCTTTGCCTTTAGTTTGAGGAAGTTTGACTATGATATGTCTTGGCATGGATTTCTTTGGGTTTATCCTGTAAGAGGTTTGCTCAGCTTCTTGATGTCTTCTGTCAAATTTTGGAATTTTTCAGCTATTATTTCTAGTTTTCAGCCACTATTTTTTGTTGTTGAGTATTTTTTCATCCCTGCCCCTTTTCTCCTCTCCCTCCAGTACTAAAAAGGCATGACTTTTAAATATTTTTTAATAGTTCCATAGGTCCCTACACTTTTTAAAATAAATTTTAATGTTTCTTGGATGTAATGTTTGCTTGTTTGACCAGTACAACCAGTATAGGAAATTTAGGAATTTAATTCAGATTTTCAAGCCAATATAAACCCCAAAATTATATATACTAGACCATTATGCTATTATTATTTTCTACATTATGAGAAAATCTGAAAGGAAATATATAGTCACTTTTAGACCAAAATTAGTAAACCATTCTAACTTTTGAGTCACCTCAGAAAAAAATGACATAAAAGTCTATTTTTTTTCTATTGTTCAGACTAATTCCTTTGTTCTTTTTCAAGTTCTCCAATTCTTTCCTCTGTCACCCCCACTCCCCATTGAGCCCATGCATTGCATTAAAAAAAAAAAAAACAGGTATTGTATTTTTCATTTCTAAAATTTCCATTTGGTTCTTCTTTATAGCTTCTATTTCTTTGCTGGGACTGTCTATTCTTCATTTGTTTAAAGAAGCTGTAATTGCTTATTGAAGCCTTTTTATGATGGCTGCTTTAAAGCCCTTGTTAGATAATTCTAACATCTGTGTTATCTCAGGGTTGCTATCTGTTGATTGTCTTCACATTTCAGTTGAGATTTTCCTGGTTCTTCATGGAGCGATTTTTTACTGAAACCTGGATTTTATGTTATGAGACTTTGGATCTTATTTAAATCTTGTTTTAGCAGGTCTTCTGTGACACAGGAAGGGAGAGCCACCTCATTACTACCAGTCAGGAGTGAAAATTCTACTGCCCTTGTGGACTCCCAGGGCAGGGAGGGGGAAAGGCATCTTGATACCTTTGGGTTGGGGGGCGGGGGGGCGGGTGCAGAGGGTGAAAGTTCAGGCTCCCCACCAGGCCTCTGCTGATACCACCCAGGTGCCATATTTTTCCAACAGCCCCACAGACCCTAGCTGGTCAGTCTTTTCTCCACCTTTCAGAGTCTTCTTAATAGTGTCCTGGGTTTTCAGCTGTATTTAGTAGGAGAGATAAGGAGAAGTGTCTTTCCAAACATTTTTAACCTAAAGACATTTAACCTTAAGTGTCTAAATAGGCTGACAGCTTCTTCTCCTTTGGGTACCTGTCCTTGTCTTTTAAAACTGACATATGAGTAGCTGCTGCCATGCTTTGCTGACCATCACAAGCTTTAAAATATCACTTATTTATCTGATGAAGCATTATTGCACTGGACTTCTGTCAATGCTTCAGACCTATGTCTAATGTTGCTTTGAAAACACAAAAGAGAAGATAAAAAATGTCATTTGAGAACATAACCAACCCAACTACCATTTGAGATGGAATGC